GATTGTCCAGTTTTGTAAGGACAAAATGATAGAAATACTAAAATGTCATTTCTTTCCTTTGTTTCATATGGAATTCCCATCAGTAAAACAAGCAAAAGAGTACTAAAGTTACCTATCTTCACAGTGCTACTCTGGGTAGTGACATCCAGCCTTCCATGCCGGGTTGGAGGGAGCCACTTAAAGGGGTCCTTGTTGAAGCAGTAAAAATTACTAGTTGTATTAAATTGCACCCTTGAATACATATCTTTTTTACAGTTTGTATGACAAACTGATGGGGTAAGCATAAAAATACTTCTACATATTGCTGTATATCTCAGTAAGCATTTGAGAACCTGAGTTAGAAACTGAACTAGCTGTTTATTTCTGCAGACACTGTGATTGATAGAAACCCCAGCAAATTCCAGTTATCCAGGTGTAGGTGATGGATAAACATTTTCTTTAAAATAAGCAAAATTAGCTTATTACTGCAAAGAAAACACCTGAAACTATTTGTTGCCAGTTATAAAATGCCAACTTTCATCTTTGAAAATCTTGTGTTTGTTTCTGTGAACTCACCAATTATGCAATCCTCAAATATTTATTGATAGTATCAGTGGTGGTGTTAACAAATGTGATTTTTTTAATATCATATAATGAAATGCATTGATGCTTGGAAGATCTGTGTGTTATAGTATTTTCCAAATGACCTAGGGATTATGTTACAAAATCATGCATGCTTGAAGTTTCCATTCAAAGTATGAGATAGGCCAATGAATTTTAATGTAACTTCAAGAAAAGATAGGGTTTCAGATTGCATATTGAAGGAAGCCTTTCAGAAACTCCCAGCTGTCTCAAGTATTAGTGTATTATCAAGGAACATCCACAACTATATGGGAAGATGTTTTAAATATTTTAACTTTCCTTTTCAGCTGTACCTTTATAGAGTTTCTTTTTTCACTTCATCCAAAATAACATCACATTAGATAAAGTGAAGAAACCACTTTCAGAATCCACTTTCTCCTATTAAATCAGCTGATAAAGAATTTACAAAAATACGAAACAGTGCTTTTCTCACTAATGTTTTTCCTTTGGAAACCTATGTCTCAAGAAAATAGAGTACATTAATATATGATGAGTGTACTATTTTTAATTGTAAGTGAGTGGATAAGTGTGCTTAAATCTCTGTTTTATTTCTAATGTAATAAATAGTCATAGATACAGCCCATATAAGCAAAACTTCTTCTTTAAGGAGTCCTTATCGTCAAGAATGTAAAGGTCAGAAACTGAAAAGAACCAGTTCAGGAAACATAACTGATAAATTGTGGAAACCAATACCAATAATCCCTGATCAATGTGACCTCAAAACCTTTTCCCTGACCCACTGCACTGGATTATTCCAGCTTGGTTCAGTTTGGGACCCATTGTATTGAAGTGTCAGACTTGTAAGAAGTCCACTTTGGTTTACTGTCACCTAACTGAATGCCCAGTCATTAGAGATTTAAAGTAATAAGAATCAGTTAGACAGGCAAGGTCACACTGAGGTTAAAAACCCCAAGTTTTCATAACTTAACATAATAAAAGTGTTCTTGGTCATGCCAAGTCTGCTGCTGGGCCGGGAGACATCATTGCAACACAAGTTTTCCAAAAGTATCGTTGTGTGGGAGAGGTGCACTGGAGAACCAAGGACAGTAAACAGAAGCTACCTGTGCAAGTGTCTTTTCACATTTCATTGAAGAATGGAAAACTGGCTGGGTGCAACGGGCGCATGCCTGTAATCCCAGCACTCTCGAGGCTGAGGCAGGAGGATTGCTGCTAGTTCGAGACCACCCTGGACTACAAAGTGAGCCCAAGGCCAGCCTGAACTGCATAGTGAGACCCTGTCTCAAAAAAAACACACAAAAGGGAAATTGCTGCCCTCTGTGGGCCAGAACAGAGGAGAGCTGTCTACTGGTGGACACAGTCCTGCCAACCACCTCGCCCTCCTCCACCCTTCTAACTGCATTAGTCTGCTTTCTATTAGAATTTTAAAAAATACCGGAGATACTCCACTTACAAAAAGGAAGGGGTTATTTTGGAGGTTTCAGTCCATGACCAGTTGGCCTATTGCTTTTTGCTTCTGATGTCGCAGTACATCATGGCTAGATTATGTGGCAGAGCAAATCATTGACCTCACAGCCACCAGGAAGCCAAAGAGAAAGAGAAAAAACACTGCCCCACATTCCCCTTGAAGGAGGCATGCCCAGTGGTCTAAAACCTCCTATGAGGCTCTATCTCCTAAAGATTTCCGCCTTCCAACAGCACCAAGTTTTGGACTGTCTTTGGCGCATGGAACTCAAGATCCAAGCTGCTGCATAACCTGAAACTATTTGCTCTCTGAAACGGTACTGTGCTAAATTCTGAGGCATAAACATGAGAATTTAACCTCTCACCCTCAGGAACTCAAAATATCTGAGAAGATGAAGAATGTCTCCTTGCATTTGCATGGCTCTTTCCTATTAACCCCGTAACCACAAGCAATCAGCACCATGAAATTAGAAGTCTAGACGGATTGAACGGTGCGTGGGAATGTTCATGGGAATATCAAATCTAGCAACAACAGAAAGCAAAGGGAATGAAGAAGAGAAAGTTGGTATTGACCATGTCAGGAGAAGTCTTGCTAGTGCATGAGAGTGATATCAGGGGTGAGAAGAAAGGAAAACTCTAAGTGGCTGTAGCAAGCCCATGAGTAGGGCACTGACTCTGGAAAAGACCCAACGCCCAGCCAGAGAAGAGAACGTGCAGCCGATGAGGCTCACAGAGGAGGCTGCAGGGCCCTGACCACTTCTTGCTCAGCAACACGGCACCTGTTAGACTGAGGTGTACAGACATTTATTTTAATTGAAAAGTAAGAACCAAAACATACTTTATGTTTTTTTCCCCTAAAACTTTTCCTCATAATTTTTCAACTCCAATAACAATAAAATAGTAGTGGCATAATAGTCTTACACAAATGAAAATGCAATTTTCAGAAACAGCATTTTATTAACATGAAGTGTGGCAGCTGTTGGAGTATCTTATTTAAATTATGATGTTTTGGCTCTCAAGCAACAGCAGACAAACCCTGTTCTGTATTTCCTGGTTTTGATATGTTTTGGGAGGAGATGTCAGTGATGTAGCTGATGTCATTCCCTGTAAACCTGCACCACTTTAGATTCAGTTTTAGTTTCTATTTCCTTAGGTTTCTATTTCCTTGGGTTTCTCATTCCTGTTGAAATGCCTAGCCAATCAAAATCACACCATGGTTTGTCATAGGATTCCACGTGGTTAGATAAAATCTGTCCACCACCTCTGAAAAGTACCTCCTATTTTTACAAGCTGGACTAACTGGATATAAATTGAAAGTACTTGCTATTTTTAGACCCTGGGCTAACTGGATATAAACTCTGATCTCAGGGCCGAAGTTCCTCACTCAGATGGTACTTCATCTGCCGGCAGTAAAGCTTGCTGGTATTTGCTCTCTGCCTGTGTGAGTGTTTCTTGCTGGTCAGCCATAATATAAGAAAGAAGGGGACTTCAAATCTCAAGGTGCAAGTTATGTGTGTCTTCAGGGAAGCTGCCATGATTTACTGAAGGAGCTGCCTGGTCCGCAGAAGCTAGCAGAGAATAGTGGTAATAGAGTAGAAGAAAGACAAGGAGAAACATTGGCAAGTGCAGACTTTAAAGGACTTTCAAATGATTGGAATCAGCATGTTCTTTCAACTGGCCTCACAGAATAGCAACCCTTTGTGTACAATGTGCGAAATAAACCTGAGATCAGTAGCAGTGAACCTATGGCCTGTGTGCTGCCCAAGCTGTTTGGGATCACTTAAAGCTATGAAAGGTTCACCAGCACTGTCGTAGAAAGTGTAATGACAGTCAAGAAAGGAAGTAGCATCAAGGCTGCTGAGGCCTTGAGGGGGGCATACAGAATTTGGATCTAGAATGTGCCCCCAAAAGCCTGTCTGGTAAATGCTTGGTCCACCAACCACAGTTCTATTAAAATGTAGTGGAATCCTTAAGAGATGGGATCTAGTAGGGTGTCTTTAGATGGCTGGGGTTATTATCTTTGAAGAGAACTTTGGGACCCCAGTGTTTTTCTCTTTTACTTCCTGCCATCAAGTGAGCAGCCTTCCTGTGCCCTGTGCTCCCACCATGATATGCTTTCTTAATAGAAGCTCAAAAGCAATGGAAAAAATTGATCATGCACTGGAACCTCCAAAACTTGAATCAGAATAAACCTTTTTTCTAAGGTGGTTGTCTCAGGTGTTTGTTTCAGCAATGGAAAACCAACTAATGTGTCTGGTTAGTGGGAACCATGGGTTGTTAAGAGACTGACACTCATCTAAGTAACCCATTAAGAAGACTAAGGCAGAATCCAGGGTACACAGGGGAGTCTAATCAGAATGGTCTGAAAACATTGCAGTGATCCAGGCCTAAGTTACTAAGGAGCTGAACTAGAGTGGTGGCTGTGGAATGAGAGACCAGGGTAGATGCAAAACTGACAAGATTTAAAATTAACCCAAAGGAATCAAAACTGATCCTAAAGTTTAGAATTTGAGTAGGTAATCACCATGGTTAGAGACATGAGGGAGAAGAACTCAGCAATTTAAAATTCTGGTTTACTGTGTTAGACAAATGCATTTTAGGTGAGGGTGGGCGGAGTGAAAGTTTTCACTGTACAAGTGGACAAAAGGACAAACTCCGTCCTTGCTCATCCTGTGACTGGTGGAGAATACATGTTGACTCTCTGTTATGCTCTGTAGCTTTGTTGCCCAGCATCTCTTCAATGAATCCCCAAAAAATAACCTTGTTGATTGGGGGAAAACAAAATAATTTGAACTAGATCTATAAAAGGTCTTGACCAAGCATTTAACTCCTTGGTATTCTTTGTTTACTTCTTTCTAAGGACAGCATTGTGGTTGCGTGCCCTCCACCTTCGTGCCTGCTACTCCAGACTCCAGCTGCTGTCCTGCATCCCCTGCTGCTGGACATCACAGGCCAACATGGACCAGGAAAAGGAGCTGCTGAAAATCACCAAAAAGCTGAAGAAGATGGTGGCCAGGAGAAACATGGGAGGGACCCTGGACCTTCTAAAGAAGCTGGGCAGCTATCAGATGTCTATCCGGCTGCTACAGACAACCAAGATTGGGGTTGCTGTTAATGGGGTTCGCAAGCACTGCTCAGACAAGGAAGTGGTGGCCATGGCCAAAGTCCTCATCAAAAACTGGAAGCAGCTGCTGGATTGCCCTGGATCTCCCAAAAAAGGAAAAGCAAAAGAAAGAAGAAAAGTGAAGAAGAAGGTAAAAGTGCTTGATTGTTCAGCTTGGAAGCCAGAAGCAGCCCTTTCTTCACCCAGGAGGAAAGGAAGGGAAGAACCCAAGAAGAGGAAAGAGTCTGTGGACTCCAAGTCTTCCGCCACCTCCTCTCTCAAAAGGCCATCGACGAAAAGATCAAACAGCAGCAAATCAAAAGCGAAGACCCCCAAAACACCCAGCGGTCCCTCGATGTTGGCCCCCTCCCCCTGCCTCCTGTCCCCCCGCTATCTCACGGGGGACTGTATCCGGGACAAGTGCGTGGAGATGCTGTCGGTGGCCCTGAAGGCGGAAGACGATTACAAGGACTATGGAGTCAACTGTGACAAGATGGCATCAGAAATTGAAGATCACATCTATCGGGAGCTCAAGAGCACAGACATGAAGTACCGGAACCGGGTACGCAGCCGCATCAGCAACCTCAAGGACCCCAAGAACCCTGGCCTCAGGCGGAACGTTCTCAGTGGGGCCATTTCCACTGGCCTCATTGCCAAGATGATGGCCGAAGAAATGGCCAGTGACGAACTGAAGGAGCTGAGGAATGCCATGACCCAAGAAGCCATCCGTGAGCACCAAATGGCCAAGACCAGTGGCACCAATACTGACCTCCTCCAGTGCAGCAAATGCAAGAAAAAGAACTGTACCTACAACCAGGTACAGACACTCAGTGCCGATGAGCCCATGACTACCTTTGTCCTGTGCAATGAATGCGGGCATCGCTGGAAATTCTACTGACCGCAGCACCTACCGAGAGGTAGAGAAGGAGGTGAGAAAGGGCAGAAACTTAAAATGGAGAAAACTCCCAATCTCTGAGTGAGTCAGTAGGGGTCAGAGGGAGAATTCTTTTGCCAATTAATAATCAGTCATTGTAATGATTGGCTAACCGAAGAGCATAGCAGGATACCAGGCCAAGCATCCGTGTTGACAGACTGCTTTTAGAAAATCAGAGCATCATTGCTGAGGAGTCACATCCCTGACAGGGAGCTACCTGACCTTTGCTTTGAGGCCCTTCCCTCTCATCCAAGTCTCATTCCTTCCTGGATTGACAAATGCAGAGATCTGGGGGTTTAACTCAGTAGTAGAATGCTTTCCTAGCATGTGGGGTTCCCAGGTTCACTTCCCAGCACAGCAAGAAAGGAAGAAGACAAGAAAGCACATCAGAGTTGGGGTATAGCTCGGTAGTAGAGTACATGCTCAGGATGCTTGAGGCCTTGCCTACCACCAAAGAAAGAAAACAAAAGTACCACTGGGCATGGTGGTTCATGCCTGTAATCCTAGCACCCTGGACGGCTGAGCCAGGATGTTGCAATGTCAAATGGACAATTTAGTGAGGCTCTGTCTCAAAAAAGAAGTGGGGATGTAGTGCAATATGAAGACCCTGGGTTCAGACAGCAGTAGCACCAAAAAATAAGTACATAAAAGCACCAAGCAGGTACAGCGGCACATATCTGGGTATGATCCCAGCAACTGTGGACTTGTAGACTGAAGCAGGGATGAATGAGGCAGAGATTGGGCATGGCAGAGTGGGAAATTGGGTGGGACCTGTCAGCCACGGAAACTTGTCGTGTGTGTGTGTGCAGGGCAGGCAGCTTTGGAGCCCTGTGTAGGACACGTGAGGTCTGCCAGCAAAAGAAGGGTATAAGAATATCAGCTGTCGACCTCTTGGCCATTGGCCTTGTTTTTGCAGTGGCCTGCTCTGCACCCAGAGTGTATATTCTCTCTTCTTTAGAGCACTTTTGCCTTTTTGAACTTTTTTCTATTTTTCTCTACCTTTAATAAATGTGAAATTTTTACATTCTTCAGTTGTCCATCCAATTCTTTAAGCAGGGTAAGAGCCTAAAAAGAACCACTGGGCACCTCACCAACTGGTAACAGAAAGATCACTGAGCCCATGAATTTGAGGCCAGCCTGGGTAAATAGCAAGACTGTATTTTAAAGTAGAAAAAGAAAAACAGATGGATCCAGATCATTCCCCATCCCTGAGCTACAGATGCAGAATAGGCATAGAGTTTGTCTGAGGCAGATATAGCTTCCACACTAGGTAGAAATCTCTCTTCCTTCTTCCTTCCTTGTCTCTTTGCAAACTCTCTACTACTACCTATTCACAGGGACCCTTTGAAACTGGGTCCCTCTAGGCAGGGAGACGACCCTCCAGAGCATGGGCCGTCTCAGTGAAGGTTACAGCAGTGCCCCTTTTTTCCAGGCCCTTATTGATCCTGAGCTCTGCACATGGCCCAGACTGTAGCAGCCTCCCCTATGCCCCCGGCTCAGTCTGTGGTCCGAGCTTCAGAGAAAGTCTGCAGAGCATGCTGCTCTATGATGATATCAGTTTGCTTTTTATGCTCAGAAGGACGTTAGGCAAAGCTGAATGCTTGTGGAAAAGCCTTGGGAGCATGTTTAGTGGGCTGTTGATGGTTTCAGTTTCTGGTTTTTTTCTTGACCTTTTAGCAGCCTAAGGCCAAGCACGCTGGATTTTGTGTTATCTAAGATGTTGACATGCGGGAGCCTGTGAACTCCTAGGAGCTTGGACAAGTCACTAATTCATTGCCCTCCCTGTAAAAGTGGGAGTGGAACCAGCACTGTTTCCAAGGGTGACTGTGCAGAAGCTGTTGGCTTTCCATCTTTCTTGGTTCACCCTTGGGGATGATCGATTGGAGTGACAATAGAAAGCTCCTGGTCTTCCTGGCATCATCCCCTCTAGACCTGGTTAATCTCCTCCCTTCCACCTACCGTGTGCCTGCTCCCAAACAATAAGCCATAGAAAGACTGTATGGAAGCCACCACCATCTTCAGCTTTTAAGCAGATACAGTGGGAGGCCTCCTGTGGGAAGGCTGGAGAGTGTCTCACCAAACGCCCAACCCCTGCAGCTCCTAAAGACTGAGCAGGGCTGAAACCCAGGACTTCTGCTTCTTGTCACAGTGCCCTGTGAGTCTGGGAGAGATTCAGAGGCATACACAGTGGCCAGTCCCTGCCTTCCAGGAATTTCCAACCTGTTGTGGAGAGAAACAACAGGCACAGCATAGACTCCCACACCAGACAGGCTGGGATGCCACATTCTGGGTGTGCGCGTCCTGCAGAGGTGCAGCGGGGAGCTGCTTAGAAACCAGATTCTCCTTTGTCTTTAACGTGGGGGATCCCAGAAGAGAGTGCTGCAGTGCAGATCCTGACTCAGTGGGCCTGAGGCGGGGCTGACATCTTCCTTTCTAACAAGTTACCATGGGACACCAATGCTGCGAGTGGCCCACAGACCATGCTCTGAGTAGGAACAGATTAGATGTCAAGATTTTTCACTGCATTGTCCGATCCTTCATCCAGACAGTTCCACACCAAAAACAGCAAAATATGGTAACCCTGATCACCTAACCCACGTTAATAAAGGTTACTTCAAGGGGCTGAGGATTTAGCTCAGCACCTGCCTGGCAAGCATGAGTTCAATCCCCGGTACTCTCCCCCAAAATAAATAAAGGTTACTTTGGGGTGAACTTTAAAAAAATACATTCTGTGAAGGGCTATTTGCTAAAAAAAAATACAGATGAATACATGGCTGTCTATAATGCTGCTTTGGTTTTGAAACCTATTGATGAGCAAATTGATGCCCAGACTGACTACTATTAAAGGAATATTGAAGCTCAGAAAAGAGTGCCCGTAATATGCTGCTTTAGATAGACTTTTCCTTAGCTACCTAGAGACAAGATATAGGTCTAAAATGTACAGTATATATAGTGAAATGTGAAGAAATTGTTCAAAAGAAGAAAAGAACTAGGGTGGGGAAAGGGAAAAGAGAAAATGCAAGTTATTAATATCCTATAGTTCATTGAAGAGGAAGGTTTGTGCTAATATTGACTGGAGAAACATTGATGCCCAAAGCTTGTACTCTGAATAGCTACTTTAAAGATAACAGTATATAGTATATTAACCAATGTTACTCTCATTTTGTTATGAAATTCTGTGTTACCTTTTACCCTTAAAAAAAATATGTCTACCGAAGAAAACACAGAGCTTCAAATTGTCGTACTGAAATGTCCTTAACAGGAAAGATTGAACTGAGCACAGAGGAAGGGACTGAAAATCAGACAGCAAACCCAGAGCCCAGAAAACTTACCCCAAGCAACTGTGCGTTATTCGGGACCACTCATTTTCCTAAGAATCATTTACCATCCCTCTAAAATTGCCTGAAAACAGTATTTAAGCTTCAACCATTTGCGCTTCTCTGAGTTTTCATATTGTAGATGGCTCCCATGCACATAAACGGATGAATAAAGTTTGTTTGGGTTTTTTCCTGTTAATCTCCTGTTAGTCTCCTGTTAATGGTTTTGCCTCCACCCTCATGACTTCATCTAATCCTAATCTCCAATGCCATCAGCATATGAGTTTCAGGTTAAGTTTCCAATATAGGAACTTTTAGGGCATACATTGAAACCATAGCAGAGATTGCATCCTTTCATAGGATGTAAGAAGCACAACACTATAAATAAACACTACTACAACCTAACTGTTGCTATTACATTCTTATCTTTTTATGTTGGTCCCTGTCCAAGAACTTTAGAAAAGTGAAATGTACAAAAGACTAGAGCAAAACAAGGTAGCATGTGCCTGTCATCCCAGAACCCTGGGGACCTGAAGCAAGAGGATCACAAGTTCAGGCTCTGCCTGGGCAACTTAGACCTTGTCCCAAAAGAAAAACTTGTAAAAGGCTGGAGGCCAGTGTGGAGGCCTTGGCTTTGATGACCAGCATAGTTAAAAAGAGAACACTTGAACACAGAGCAATGCACTTATGGAAGCATTGTAGGATAGATTAGGCTTCATTGTCAGATTTCTCAAGAAAGCCAAAAGGAAAAGGAGGGAAGAGAAAGGGAAAGGAAGGAAGGCAAGTAGGCTTCATTTCTTATGATACTTGTCCATGGGAAGCCAGCAGGGGGCTCTGCTCTGCTGTCTTCAGAAACAGGCTTCTGCCTCTGGCAGGTGCAACCCAGGAGGGAGAACACGATAAATTGCATTTTCTTAAAGACTTGCACGTCCAGATGACACTTTTACTCACATTCTTCTGGCGGAAGTAGGTCACAAGGCCATGCACAAGTTCAAAGGAAAGTGGGCCCTCACCCTCTCCAGGTTCCTGGAGGGAGAACGAAATGACAGGTGAAGCTCCCAATGACCAAAAGGTTGTGTCAGTTGCAGGAAAGGTATGTTAGGCCAGGCAATTCAATAAAGAATCTAGACCCCACCAGACGTTTGAGACAGCCATGTCCAGGTTGCATAGAATAGGGAAATTTTTTAAGAACGTTGTCTCTGTATCTCTTGAGCTCTTTAACTTCTTTCTTTATGGGAAAACGCAAAAGGGTCAGTAATGTTAGAATTTTATACACTGATGCAAAATTGGGGTTGTTTTATATCCTGGCATTGTATTACTTGGGCTGGGTTTGTACTTAGGCAGGCAGAGTTAGTGGCACTGAAATAGATTTATTGATGATCTGTCCACCCACCTCAGACTGTAACTCTGAGTAGAGCAGTTAAGGCTTGTTGTGCTCCAGCTTAGAAGCCTGTGGAGCCATATATAAGAGTCATACATGAAGGCGTTAGGGGAGGCTCAGATGCCCACCTTACCCATTATTCTGGTAAGGGGATAAAGTTGCGGGAGGGCACAGAAAGGGCCAGGAAAGTAATTCCATAAAGGAACCAGGACCAAATTCTCTATCAGGCCCAAAAGGCTCAGAATACTTTTCCAGGTTCATGATACTTTTATATTTGTTAAAGTCATCAGTGGCTGGGGGAGGATTTACATTGAGGAAAATTTTCAAATATATTAATATGTTCACATTTTACCAAATCATTAGGAAGATAGTTGTTTGTTTGCTTGTTTGTTTCATGGAGGAAAGGATAAATGAAGGTAAAGCCCATGAGAGTCCTAATGGAGCCCAGGAAGAGGCTCCCAGGGTTCCATTCGAGCCCTTCTTCTGGAGAGTAACAGAAAGATGGGTGACCTCTACCCTTTCATCAAATGCACTAGAGTTAGCAAGCCAAGAATAGAAATGAGAAAATGTTGGCCTCCAGAGGAAGACAGGGCTCCCCAGCTCCCCACCCAGGGTAGACCGGGCTGGAGGGCGCTGATAAGGATGGCCAAGCATTACAGGATAATCTGGGGGTAAAACAGTGGCAGAGCTCCTGGGTGGTGGGGCATCATGAGGAAGGGATTACAGGCAGAGGTAAGCCAGCAGGAGGTTCCCTTTGGATTCTTTTCTGCTATTATGGCTGTCACATGTCAAGCCCGGAGTATTGCCAAGAGGCCCACCATCTCCCTCCACAAAGCAGGGGTGAGTCGGTGACCCCAGGCCTCAGTAGCAGCTGTCGTCTCTCTGGATGGCTCCTTCTTGAAGCGCTCCTGCCCTTAGCCTAGACTTCCCTCCCCATTCTCTCTGATTTGGGTCATGCAAGATGCTTCCTGCAAGAATATTCTTCCTGACGACCCTTTCTGCACATGCCCTTAGAGTCTACACCTATGCCATGCTATCTGATGAGCTATATAGAACTGTATATTAAAATGTGACTATTCTAAGTTAAGATATGCTGTAGGACTGAAATGCACACCCAATTTCAAACCTTTCATATGTTAAAAAGATACATAAACTATCTCAATAATAACATCAATTGCACTTTGATTAATTTAGACAGGTTATTTCTTTTTTCTTCTAATGTGACTGCAAGAAATGTTTTTAAACAATATATATAACTCAGATCTATGGCTCACGTTTTATTTATTAGATAGCACTGCCAGAGCCTTCATGCCATATCTAGAGGGACCC